ATATAGTTATATTATTTCCCTTTCTTTTTCCACTGTCAGAAACCTCCCAAGCACCCTCCTTGCTCTCTTTCAAATTCATAGCTTCCCTTTCATTAATTGTCCCATACATGTATGTATATACATGTATATTCCTAAATACATAGGTACAACATGCTCAGTCTGTGTAATGTTACTTTATTTGTATATTTTTATGTACAAAGAGCTAGCATGATCCCTTTCACTGGGTAAATGATCTTGAGTAATCCATTCTTAGAAGGCTATTTAGTTTGACTTAATGAAGCCTACATCCTTCATCTTAGGGAGATGCTGACAAGGGTTCAACCTCTGTTTCCAGATCAGCCTCGGCTAGTGTAGGCACAACAAATGTGTACCCCAACCTTATTTTTTGCTGGTGTCTCCAGGGGAGCTGCTATTACTGTCTCCCCTTCAGAAGCCCAAGGAGGAAAATGACTGGCTGGGACTTCAGCACCCAGAGTGCTGGCCTCTGGATGGTGTTCTGTGAGGTTTGATGAGTAACAGAAGGCAGGAAACTCGAGTTCCAAATAAATGAGGTGATATCCCTAGATTACCCAGGACTGAGGTCATGAGGGCAGCCTGGTTTGCCCTTGGTTTGGTTTGTTTCTGGGCCCAACCAGCTGTGTTGTGGTTGGCTGTCTAGTGGTATAGACTGAGTTGACAATGATGCTTGCTATCCCCCTTATGGAAGTGTGTGTGTGTGTGTGTGTGTGTGTGTGTGTGTGTGTGTGTGTTGGGGAGGACAGGCACTGGGTAGTTCTTAGAGTCTCAGATTGCCCAGTCCCTTCCACCTATGGAGCTTCCCACCTGTTGCTGACACTCAATGATGGTGGTAGAAACAGCAAGTTCACCCTTATTCGTGTGTCTTCATCAGGGGACTCCCTGGGTAGAACGCATTGTGGTTTGTCTGGTATGGAATTTGTGGACAGACGGATGCAAGTTCAAATTCCTACTCCATTTGGGCAAGTTAACAAAGTCCCTGTGAGCCCCGGTGTCACCTCTTAAACCCAGGTGATGGCATCTACCCTAAAGAATTGCTGTAGTGATGAAATGAGATGGTGCATATAGGTGGGATCAGTGTGAAGTCTGATGGCAAGTGCACAGCAAGTGACAGTCAGGGAGAGTGGGAATTGGCCTGTCTTTAGAGCCACAGCATTGAGAGACATGCAGAAGGGAATTCTGGGTACAGATGGAATTTTTTGTTTGTTTTGGGTTGTTGCTTTGAGACTGAGTCTCATGTAACCCAGGCTGGCCTCCAACTCACTATGTAACTGAGGAAGACCTTTAATTTCTGATCAGAATACTGGTGGTACAGACAAGCATGCACCAAGATGCATGGCACATTTTGGTTTCTTTTTGCTGCCTATCCTGTCCCCGGAGTTCAGGATTCTCTGGCCTCAGCCTCCCCGTTGTTGAAGCTATGGGCTAGAGCCACCACACCCAGCCAAGTGAAGATAACAAGCCACCCCAAGTCTTTCTTAAGAGACTGTAGTCAGTCTTCCTCTCTTTCCACACCTGTTGAAGATAGAAGGCCTGTGGCTAACTCAAATAGCTCTCTGTGAAACATCTGACTGACAGGTTCTGGGGAGGGACTGGAGGGTAAAGGGATCTGTCTTTGGAGAAGGAGGAGGCTCTCTTCCAAAGACCATGGGAGTCATACCACCACTCTTACTAAACTTACCATGTGCACAGAGCTGGTAGTCTGTCTTACCAAGAAGGATCTGTGGCCAGGAGTGATGGCACAGGCCTGTAATCCCAGCACTTTGGATATCTCAAGGTCATCCTTGGCTATGTAGTGAATTCAAGGCCAGCCTAGAATATATGAGACCATATCTGAGAACAAAACAACAGCAACAACAAAAGAAAAAAGAAAAAAAAAAAAACCCATAAAGCTGAGCCTAGTGGCGCAGACCTGTAATCCTAGCATGAAGGACATCATGGCTGGACAATGGTGAGTTCAAGGCCAATTTGGTAAGAACCTGTCTCAACAAAGCAAGCAAACAAACAAACAAAAACAAGATCTGGGATTATGACTTTGTGACAGAGCACTTGCCTAGTGTGTACAAGGTCTGAGGTTTGACCCCCCAGTTCAGTAAAAACAAGTGAGCAACAAGAACAAAACCAGAACCCAAGACATATTAGCTGGGTTGCAATAATGTCACAGGACCCCTGTGGGAGCCAGCTTGTAGGTAGGACTTAAAAATCAGTTGGGCCATAAACATCCGCCTCCCAGAGATCTCAGGCCTCAGGCCTGAAGTGCTTTCCCTTCATGCCTCAGGAAGTTCTTACTCCAGTGGAAGATCACTACCTTACCCATGGAAGGGTGAAGGATAGCTGTGCCCCCTTGCCTTTGAGGCATTCGAAGTGCCCAGCCTCATTTCATCTGTCAGTCATGGGGGGGGGGCGGTAAGTGTAGGAGCAGGGAGGTGACCCAGGCAGGACTTGGTCTCTACCATTCTGAAGGGTCCCAATGCTTTGAGCCTCAGGAGACCTGGAGTCACAGAGAAGTTTGCACTATGACAGGCAGCCTGCCCTGAGGATACAGAGGATATATCCTAGAACATAAAAGTTGTCATTTTTAAAAAATTCTTTCCTTTTCCATCTTCTGTATAGCCAGGGAGACTGTCCCTTGATTTTTCCTGAGTTGTCTGGAAGTAGTGATGCGGGGCTACAAGTATTTAATTTGGAGAATGCTTGACAAGATAAGCAAGAGGCAAGAATGGAAAAGAGTCAGGTTAGTTCAACAAAGATTCGCTAAGCCATGATCCTGACAGGTACCCAAGAGTTTGTTGTGTTGGTAGTATTGATACAGAGAGGAATGAGACCCGACCTCTGACTGCAGGAAGCATGTGGCTTTGATATGTGATAAGATCGAGGGAGGGGAGCCTATCGCCCCTCTAATCTGTGGGCTGCCACGTGAAATTTAGGAGGGTTATCAGGAACGTTCATTGGGAGGTTATCATTGCTAGGGGCAGAAGTACAAACAACCTTGAGAAACCAGTGGCTAATGATACATTGTACCCCTCAAGGCCCCTTGGTCAAAGCACTCTGGTTTCTACTGAGCATGACTGACTTTCTTGACTGGTATCCCTCCCTAGGAAACCTCAAGAGTTCCACTTGAACTTAGAAACAAGTCGTGGGGACCAGGCAGGCTTCCCTGGGTTGTAAGGCCTGTAGAGATGAGGCTGTCCTTTAGGGGTCAGCCCAGGTGGCTGCTTCTTCATGCACGCTTCCCAGGGATATTTAGGAAGATTGACTCTGCACAAGGCTAAAGGGTGTACAGTGAGAAGCTGATGGAGGCCAGCCAGGGCCTCAGCAGAGGTAGCATCTGCTTGCTGGGCAATCCCTCATGGGGATTACACTTGTGAGTGCTCGCTACACATGCAATGAGTAGTGGGGACCAATGTTTTGGAGGTAGAGAGTGGGGATGGATGACTTCTCAGAGGCAGCAGTGAAAAAGTTGCAAGTCAGTCCAGTGTGACTGAGCCAGGCAGCAAGAGCAGCCCTGAGGAGGAAGTAAAGGAACTGTTAAGCTGAAGGGAATGCGACCCTTCATAACTTCCAAGGATGGCTTAGTACTCCTAATATGACTGGATGTGTGAGTTTAACGGTAAGAAGAAGAGTCGTAAATCAGCCTTGAACATCCTTATGAGAGAAAATTCTAGAAGGATTGAAGTTGTCACTATAGCTTCTGAGGAAGGGGTCTATCTGTATTACAGCATTTATTTTTAGTAGCAAGTCCAAGACCCTTCTTTCCCTGTTTGGTCCTCTTGGCTCTGGAATTGCTTTTTATTTATTTATTTATTTATTTATTTTAAATAGAGGGCGCTATCTCCTCAGACAGGGAAAGGTCAGGATGAAGATGCAAAAGTCTCTCTCCATCGGGGTTCTGCAGCCATCTTGGCTTTCTTCTGGACCCTTGCCACATCACAGAACATCATTTTATGTCTTTTCTGAGACAGGATCTCATGTAGCCCAAGCTGCCCTCGAACTCATGGAGCCAAGGATGACCTTAGACTTCTGATCCACCTACCCCCACCTCCCAAGAATGCTAAGACTATAGGAGTGTGACACCATTCCCAGTTTTTGCAGTGCTGGGGATCTAACCCAGTGATGTGTGTACACCAGGCAAGACCCTTAGCAGCTCAGCCTGGAGCATCCTCTCAGAGCTACTTGATGTCAAAGCCCAGAATGCTCTCTTCCTTCTTTCTGCTAATTTCCTGCTAGAGTTGTTCTTGGTTGTTGTTTTCAACACACATTTACTGGGCATACACAGTACTAGTAAAAAGAAACAAATACTAATAGAAAGTGCCTTCTACCTTTTTAGTACTCCCAGTCAGGTGGGAACAAAAAGAGAGATGACAGAATAATTAGATGGCACTCTGCTAAGTGCTTGGAAACAGAGATGTGAGTAGAGCTGTGGGGAGTTAGGAAGGTGGTGGGGGTGGGGTCTTTATTTCTCCCAAAGTGCTAGAAGCAAATTCCTACTAGAAGGTGTTGGGCTGTGTGTGTGTGTCTGTGTGTGTGTGTGTGTGTGTGTGTGTGTGTGTGTGTGTGTGTGTGTTTTCACGGCTCAGGGCCTCGTGCATGCTAAGCAAGCCCTTTACTGCTGAGCTCCACCCTCTATGTCACCAGCTTTTATGTTCCATTCCCCAGCATCAGCACCCTTTGAACCCAGCCCTAACTTACTGCAAAAGACCATCAGTGTTAATGACCCCATTTACAAATGAGGAAGTGGATCAAAGGGGCTGTTGGGCATGCGCTGTGGGCTGTGGTTTGGGGGCATCCCTGTCTCTAACCTTTTTTTTTTTTTAATTTTTGGCTACCGCCGGGCATTGGTAGCGCACGCCTTTAATCCTAGCACTCAGGAGGCAGAGGCAGGCAGATCTCTGTGAGTTCGAGGCCAGCCTGGTCTCCAGAGTGAGTTCCAGGAC